AATCATCGGACGGAAGATTTTCCTCTCCGTCTCTCCTCCTCTCTGTATATGTGACTTTCCAGTAAATAAACAAATCTTTAAAAAATAAATAAATAAATAGATAAAATTTCTATTTCGTTTTGTTTTGTTTCCCAGAGCGATAATAGATAATGGTCTCAACAGGATGGATGGGCATTTCGGTATTTTAATTCAGACATAAATTTATTTCTCTTCAACAAGAAGCCTCAATTTCCAAAACATTTTTCCCTCACCTCTTACGGCATAAGAATATAATTAGTATCATCATTATATCCACATGTAGTATTTGGAATATTGCCTAGTGACTGAGGGCAAGGATAGTGGAGCCCAATTATCTGGGCCTGGATTCTGATTGTGCTGCTTAGAAGGATCTTAGATTACGTACTTAACATACTGCTGAAAGTTGTTTAAGTTCCCCATCTGTAAAATGACTATAGGTAAAATCACTTCCAATCATTATTGTTGAGATTGCAGCTTTTATATGGTCCCTAGCACAGAGTAAGTGTTCAGCAAATGCCAGTGACTATTTGCCATTTCTAATTGCTCTACTACACAGTGAGCTCCTGAAGAACAAGCAAAGCCGAGGCATTCATTTCTACCACCCCAGCTGCCCCTGTGTCTTGTACAAAAAGCACACTAGGCTAATGTTTGTAGAACAGATGAATACAATGAAGTGTTTCTAGAAAAACGGGTATTATTGATTATGGGGACTTACGAGCAGAGCTACTCCAACAAGCTCGAAGCCTGTGAAGAATTGGGTCTATCCAGGATGCTGGCAGCTCCCCTGCTCCTTGAAGTATTCCATGGAATTTGAAGAGTGCAAAGACATCAAGAGTCCAGAAAGCCAAGTGGGAGAGAAGAGGAGGGCTGACTGAGCCTCCAACCTTTTTGTTAAGCTGCAACGCTGTGGGGCAAGGAGTTTCACCTCTGCGTCATTTCTTTTTCCAGTACAAGGATGGGGAATCTGTGTCCTGCCAAGAGTCATCTGAACATCGACCACATCATTCACAGGCCATACAAAGTTATCAACTTGCAATTTAGCCTGTGTAGTTGCAATAAATTTTGCGTTCCTCCTGCAGTTACCATGGCATGGCCTTAAACAGCCCGTGGACCAGATGTTCCGCATCCTTGGAAGAGAAAGCAAAGCTGTGTGATTTCACATTACCCTCCTAGCTAGATTGGAAATCTACATAATCTTCAGATTTAAATAACGAGGCTGAGAAAGGTGGTTCTGGAGTGAAAGAGCCACACCAAAGTCAACAAAGGAAGCATCAGATGATGATGCCATAATCAGTTGCTGAGTAGGAACTGGCCCCTTCAAACAATGCAAAGAGCAAGATTTTGGCAACATGCTTAGGATGAGAAAATCTGAACCTATAAAACCAAAAAAAAAAAAGAAAAAAGCAATAATGGTGTCAGCTCTTTGTTTCCATTTAATTCCCTCCAGTCTATAAGCTTCTTTTTAAAAAGCAGTTATTAATTTAATTCAAAGTCAGAGAGAGGGAAAGACAGAGAGAGGTCTTCCATCTGCTGGTTCACTCCCACATGGCCACAAATGCTGCATCAGGCTGAACACAACAGTCAAGAGCTTCATCCGGTCTGCCACATGAGTAGTAGGGGCCCAAACATTCAGGCCATCCTCCATTGCTTTTGCCATCATTAGCAGGGAGTAGCAAGGACTTAACAGGCACTTTTATGGGATGCCAATGTCACAGGCAATGGCTTTACCTGCTACAATACCAAATCCCCATTAGTTTCCTGAGAACACTGAATGTGCCTGGTTAAGTGCCCAGTATTTGGTAAAACAATTGAACAAAAATATATTTCTTCTTTTTTTTTTTTCTGGGTGCATGCCTAAACTGCATTTCCCAAACTCCTTTGCAACTAAATGTGGCCACATAATTTGCCCTAATTTAAAGAATGTGAGTGGAAATAATGAGCATTGTTCCCAGGTCAAACATTTTATTATTTTAATTTATTCATTTTTATTGGAAAGGCAGATTTACAGAAAGTAGGAGAGGCTGGGAAAAAGATCTTCCATCCACTGGTTCACTCTCCAGGTGGCTGCAACAGCTGGAGCTGAGCTGATCTGAAGCCAGCATTCTTCTGGGTCTCCCCCATGCGGTGCAGGGTCCCAAGACTTTGGGCCATCCTCAACTGCTTTCCCAGGCACAAGCAGGGAGCTGGATGTGAAGTGGAGAGCTGGGACATGAACAAGTGCCCATCTGGGATCCTGGTGCTTGCAAGGTAAGGATGTAGCTACTGAGCCACTGTGCCGCCAGGCCCCAGGCCAAGCATTTTAAAAGCAGGTATAGTCTCTTTCCAGTCTTTCTCCTCCTCTATCAACCAAAACAGGTTATAACGACTTAGTGCTGTTACAAGATAGTTATGGGATCTAGAATCACTGCATTCACACATTCACACAAACCACACACCGCCCAGAAATATTTTGTTTGGAATATTACATGAACCAGAATAAACATCTTTCCCTTTCTTGCAACTTTTTTTTTTTGCAACTTTTCATATTTACAGACCTGTCTGCCACTGTTGCTAACATTAGTGCTAACATTAGCCTGGTTAAAACAGACACTGAGTGCATACCAAGTAACCATATTTGCTCTTTTTTTCAAACACTGAATTCCTATGAAGGTAAAATTCAATCATAAGCAACACAAGATCAGATTCTCTTGTTCAATATATTAGCTGGAAAAAGACAAAGGTTAAATGTAAGGCCTTCTGTTACAATTTGAAAACAAATTTGGGAGAAAAGCGATTTTTTTTTTTTGGAAGGGAGAAGATAGAGAAGCCTTCATAGAAGAAATGACATTTGAGATGGGCCTCAAAGGTTCAACAGGATTTTCAAGCAAGTCAGATGGAGTAGGCGACTCCAGACCTGGGAGAGAATGCATATTTATTCACATTCAACCATGTCATTACTGGTAAGTTGGCCAACAGAGTATAAGTTTATGGTGCACTGACTTTCCTTCTTGGTTCTGGCACCAAATAACCCTTTGTACAATACACTCATTAGTTCTATCCTTCATTTTTTCCATGATGAAATCTTAGAAGGAAAAGAAGCAAATGTATAATAAATCACAACATTCTTTCCTAATAAATTCTTTAAGAGCAAACTTGACGGAACTCAGAAGAGTTAGGGAGCTACACTTTTGGGAATCAATGGGTCTCATCAAAGTGTTGATACCATCGATTAAGAGTGCAAGTGCCCGGTTGGCTCACAGAATGGAACACCAGGAGCCCTATACGGGCATGAACATTTCCTCTTTAAGAAGAATATCAGATGCTTAGGGTAGACATCCTCTGTTCATAGCCAAGTGCTCACAAGGCCTCAGGTAGTGAAACCACTTCCTATCAAAGCCTGTGAGTTCCTTCATCAGAAAGCATGGTACCCACTGGGCAGGAGAGAGAGAAAGATGCAAAGAATGGAAAGAATGGCAGTAGCTTGGGTGGTGTGAGGAAGGATGTGGGTGTCTGAAAGCTGAGGTGAAACAGGCATGAAACCAATCCTATGTTTTGATGTCTCTGGGCACTTACTTAAATCAAAGGGTAAAACATCCCTGGGCAGACAAGATTTTATTTCCAAAGATCAGCACAGTGGCTTGAGACAGGAGAGAAGAAGCAAGTCAACTTGTCCATACCAATTTCATTGACTCAGAAACAACAAATTCTAACCCCAACACCAAATATCTGCCCCCCACAGGCCTGAGTATCCCACAAAGGAGGCGGGGTGGGGTGGAGCACCTAATAAGGTAGAGCAACTTTCAGAAGGCTGGAGTAACTGTCCCCTTACATCTGAGAAATCCTGCAGTTGCCACTCAACACTATGGACACAGCAAAATGCCTGCACCTGCCAGCCCACATCCGGCTGGGGGGTGGTGGTGGCTCACAATTTTTGATAAAGGAGGATAGAAACACACTGAGAGGATATGGGTTGCTTCCTAGACAAGAAAGGAAATCCCTGGCAAAGACAAATAAGAAACACCATGCCTCCCCTTGGGTACTTGGGAATGTGTCTCCTCACACTGAAAAGGCTCTTTGTGCCACACACACACACACACACACACACACACACACACACACGGCTGGACCGGGTGATTTATTGGGGGAGGGGAGAAGGGGAAGCCAGAAGGGTGATTTTATTATCCCTCTTCCAGGGGAGTTCCAACAAGTCCTCTCCTGGGGCTGGTGGCCTTTTTCTCAGGCCCAGTCCCCTCCTGCTAGCCGCAGAGATAAGAGGGGAGGGGACCAAACAAAAACAGCAACAAACCAGGGAAGTCGGGAGGAAATGCAGCTTGGGAGCTGGGAGGGGGAGGAGAAAGAAGATCCAGGGAGCAGCAGGGGTGGGGGCCAGAGCCCTGGAGGCGAGGTCCCCCGCACCAGAGAAGCGGGAAGGCGGCGGTGATGGCACAGGCAGAGCGAAGGGGAGGATGGTGGAGAGCAGGGAGCTGCCAGGAACAGGCAGAGGATGCAAGCGGGGGAAGGCGACGGCCCCGAGGGCGGGGATCGTGAGGTGGAGTGGGGCAGGGGCGAGTGGGGAGGGAGGCGGCACTGAGCATCAATTATTAAGTGATTACATCATCTCCGACATTAAACAACACACACACACACACATACAGAGCCGGGTTCCCGCTGGGGGCCCCCAGAAAAGAGGGCGGGGGCGGAGTCTGGGCCAGCCTCGCCCCCAGGTCAATTCCGATTTTCACGCGGCGCCTGCTTGCGGGACGAGGACAGGGCCCAATCCCCACGCTGCCTGTGGGGCCGCGCCCCACCAGAGGTGTCCTCGCTCGGCCGCGGGAAGAAGCCCCCTCCACAATCCGCGCGCACGGCTGCCCGGCAGGGCCCCCCGGAGGCAGTGGGTGGCCGCGGGCCCAGAAGCCCCCGGCCCCGCGGCGGGGGCGGCTGCGTAGGGGCGCGGGCGGCCCCGCAGCATCCGTGGTCCTCGCGCCGCATCTGCAGCGGCTTACCTGCGCGGCGCCAGGCACCGGAGCCCATTCACATGGTCCTCTCCTTGCTGTGGTCGGGCGCGGCTGCGGCGGCTCCGGCAGCTGCCGGGTGGGCCCTGGAGAGTGCCGAGGGGGCGGCGCCGGGTAGGGTGAAGGAGGGCGCAGTGGGAAGGAGGGGGTCCCCGGCCCGGCGGCACGATCCCTCTGTGGTGCGGGCGGCGGCCGCCGGGCGGTGCGGCGCGGGCGGTGGCTTTGTGTGCGTCCGGAGAGTCCTCGGCGTGCAGGAAGAAGCGCCGCACCCGGGCCAGCTGCTGCTGCGGACGCGCGGCTCCAAGCGCAGCCTCGCCCCTGCTCCTGCGACCGGCCGGCGGGCGGGTGTCGGCCGGGCCTTCAGCTGGCCGCGACCCCTCCTCCTCTCCCGCGGCAGCCCCCTCCCCGCCGGCTGAGCTCCTGACAGATGGCGCAACTGCAAAGACGCGCCGCCGCCGCGGCTGCTCGCAGCGACTCCCGCGGATACTCGGGCCCTCCAGCTCCTGAGGAGAGCGAGCAGGGGGGGCGGGGAAGCCCCGAGAGTGGCAGGCCGCGCGGCCCTATCAGAAGGTCCCTTGGGAGCTGCGCGCCTCCGCCATTGGTGTGGGAGGCGGGGGCGGGACGGCCCTGGGTGGGGCCGCCCATGGGGTTGAGCGTTACTGTGGCAGCGGCATCCCGGCTGGCGTGCCGAGTAGGGGTGCTGGAGGGTGCGCGGGAGGAGGTGCGGGTGTGTTTTAAAGACTGAGGAGCTGTGAGCTGGGGGAAGATTAGGGAGGGACAGCGGCGGTAGGACTCGCGGCTTCTCCTTTGCGGAGGATCGCAGGTACTACTACAGAGGGGTACCTGACACTCCTCTGAGATCCCGGCAGCCAGCGGCGGAAAAGCCTTGCCCGATGAAGGTGCGGGGTTAGAGGCTGGGGTTGCGAGGTAAGAAGAAAAAGCATTCAGGCTGGCGACTACAGCCTTTCCTCGGATCAACCTGGAAAAGCTCAAGAGAGTCCTGGAAACGCGCCAGGAACCGCACGAAGAGGAGGAGACGAAATTCGGGTTCTGTTGCGGGTCCCCTGTTTTCTTGGACACGCATCATTCCCATTTCGAGCCAAAGTCTGGAGCGAGTGTTGCTTAGATGAGGGCTGGCGGCCGCCAGGGAACGGGAAATCACAGGGTAGAGCTTGCTTTGTACATTTGCACCAAACCATGTTTCCCTATAGCCGTGGGTTGTCGTTGGTTTCTCATGACTTAGAAACCTCTCATGGTTTCTTTTCTTTTCTCTCCCCACCCCCCTCCACTGAGTCGGGGCGTCTGCTCAGATTTTTCTTGATGAAATAATAGGCGGGTTCGTGTACAGTTGGGAGTGCATCAGTCTTTATTTCCTATCCAGCTTTTTCTATGGCAGGATGTCATTTCATAAAAAGAAACACGTTGGCTTCCTGATTTTCTTTATAGGTAATTCCTGTTTACTGAAAGTTTTGCCTTAAGGCGTGCTCAGAATTATTCTCCGTAATGATTTTGGCAAGAGCCTCACATCCTATTCCCTCTTAACCAATCACGTGTTCTAAGAAATGGAGTGAATCAGCTCCTATGTCTGCTCAAAATCTATAATGTTTTCCTGCCCACTACTTTCCTACTTAGCTTTCTTTAAAATACACCAGTCATTTTTGCTGATTGCTTTTTTCTTTACAGAACCTTCCTGAAATGCTTGCTAACATTTATTATACTATTCCCATGAATGTGTGTGAGGAGACTGAGGACAAAGTGGTGTAACTAAATGACAGGACAAAAAGTGTTGAACTTCTTTCTTTCTCCTGAACAAACAGAAACCCTGTTTTAGTTGTGTGCTTGTTCATGCTACTGCCCCAAGAAGTGGGAGTAGGATCTTTGCATATGATAGAACACCAACTTATCTTTAGTCAAGCATTGCGTATCTCGAGGAAGAGGCTGTTCCTCCTTAGTGCTGACCTGTCGTGGAGTTCCCTGTTTGGTGTGGGGTGGAGAGAGAGAGACAGTTGTCCAGACCAGTGTTTTTGGTACACAGATTGCTGAACCTCATTGCCAGAGGTTCTGATTTAATGGAAGTGAACTGAGGACTATGATTTTGATGTGTAGCAAGTTCTCAGGTCTCCTAGTGCTGCTGAGCTGGTACCATACCTTGAGAACCACTGGTCTGGAGCTGGGCTGTCCAGTGCAGTGGCCATTACCTGCACATGGCCATTGTGTACCCACCTTGCATTTCCATGCTCGAAATGTCTCCAGTGCAGAGTTAGATGGCAACCCATGTAAAACAAAAACAAAACAAAAGTTGGATTTTGAAGACTTACATTTAGAAAGAGAACTAAAAGCATCCAGTGTTTGGCGTGCTAGGTGAAACCACAGTCTGTAGCACTGGCATTCCTTATTAGCCAATTACTCTTCTGATCTGCTCCCTACTAATGCACCTGGGAAAGCAACAACAAATCATTCAAATCCTTGGGACCCTGCACCCAGGTGGGAGACCTAGATGAAAACTGCTGGCTTCTGCCTGACCTAGTCCTGGATCTTGTAGGCCAGTTTGGGCAATGAACCCACAAATGGAACATTTCTCCCCATCTCTCATTCTCTCTCTCTCTCTCTCTCTCTCTCTCTCTCTCTATATATATATATATATATATATAAGCGCTAACATCACCTATTTCTTTTACTTTATAAATGACATTTGTGGTTTACATTATAGTTCTATGGGATAGCACTGATCTACAATTGTTGCTAACTCCATCACCACTATGTGCTGTTGAGAACACCTTGGTAAGTCTTGTCACTTGTTCTCTCTCTGAATATTTGTGTTCTCTCTGTAAGGAAACAGATAAACTGGTCAGACGTATCTCTGAAAAGAGCGTATGCATACCTCCCTTCTTTTAAAAGATAAATCACAGTATATTCTCGCACACACACACAAAACAACTGTCTTGAGATATAGCCCTCTTTGGAATTCTGTGTTCAGTCCAACCCACATTACGTGGAACATGGAGTCAGTGGACTAAGTCATCTTACTGTTTATGGCTCCTTCAAAAGGAGTCACTTTTCAGTGCTTGCCACTCTAATAGCTTCTTGATCTAATTAGTGAACAAAAAGAAGAAACGGTGCGATTAAAAATGACAACCTGCTCCCATGGAAGGTTTTATCCTGCTTTTTGTAATTCTTTTCTTACCTACCTATTTTTTTATCTTATACTTTATGCTTGTCTTAAATGTAGCTTTAAATGGATTTGGCTTCCTCAGGAGAATTTGCTAATGATCTGAGCAAATGTATGGAGTGCTGCAGAAGATTTGGATACTATTTCCCCCTTTTGATCTGTTCTGCAGATCTCTGCAAAGAATTCAATTAAAGACTCATGACACTGTCCCTGGCTTACTCAAAATAAGTCATATTGTACTTCACAACCCCCAATTTTGTTTCCTTCTTTTCTTATAGGCAACTGCTATTTACGAGTCAGAATGTGGATGTTGCTCTAGAATGTGTTTGATTGAATTGTTAGTGCTTATTATAATTCTACTTCTTTCACATGAAATTTTCTATCCTGATTTTTTTGTTTTGTCTCATCAAGATTTCTTTATATTGTTGCTTCTAAAGTAATATTCTTAGCTTTAATTTTATGGAAGTACTTTCATGTCTTATTACTTCTTTTTTGTTTTAGTTCTCTTTTAACCATCACTTCAGTGGCAACAATTTGGCAGGGTAAAAACTCTTGATACATAGCTCTTACAAATCAACAAGAAAATAATGCTGAGCTCTCTCACTGAGAAATGAAAGTAAAGGAAATGCATCCTCAAATGACCATGGAACATAAGAGGAAATTTCTCTTCACTTAGAACCCAAGCAATGTAAGAATGGTTTGCTTTAACTAGCTAATTGGCTGAAAGAATGCAGGAAGGAGAGAACCCACTCACTCCTGGTTAGAATGTTAATCTGCACATCAGTTCTGAAGTTCTGCTTAACAGCACTTGAAAAAAGTCTATAGAAGTTTATCCCTTTGACAATAGCAAGTTGCTTCTGGAAAAGCTCTGAGCAAGTGTTCAAAGTTAAAGATCATACAGGAGAAGTTATGCATTGTTTGTAACAGTGAAACATTGGGAAAAGCCCATAAATAAAGGATTTGGTATGTTAAATATGTTCTCTATATGACAGAACACTGTGTAGCTGTATCTATGTTAAATGATGCCACTTATTGTCACAGAAATGCCTTCACAATAAATGAAAAGACTCAACAATGGATTGGTATGTTTGTGTAAATACAAGTTTATGTCTGGTGGTAAGTGCGTACATATCTAAACATGAGTATATATTCCTATTATTTTAAACCTATCTACATATGCGACTTTTCATAGAAAAATATACACATACAAAAATATTTATAGTTATTTTCTGCAAGTTGATGAGTTATAGGTCACACTTTTTAAAAATCTTTTTCTTGATTTTCTTGACATTTTCATTGGGCATTTATTATGTTATCAGAAGAAACAAAAGACATGATGTTAAGCTTGTTCCTTGCTTTGCTTCCTTAGTTTTCCCCTTTCTCTTCTTTCCCCTTCTTCTTCACTTTTGTTCCTTTTGAAGAAACATTGTCCCAGGATGGTATTCAGGAGCCAGGAGAGAGACCAGGAAGGAGGAAAAGCTCCCGCCCACATCCATCTTCTTCTTCTAGCTTCTGGTGGATTTCCTGGGAGTGGGAGACTTGTGGGAAATTTGCTCCTGGGTTAATCTCTTTGTACTTAGCATCCCTGGGTGACCACGTATCTCTTGCTTTTGGTACCGTGTATCATAAAGAACTTGCATAAACAGATGCCTTTATCTTCAGAGCACAGTCCATAGACCTGGGCCATATTGTGTCCACAGCTTGCCAGGAGTTAGCAGGAGATAGCAAATCTTCCTGTGGGGAAGATCTTCCATACCACACCACTGCCTGAGCTCAGGGAACCTTGGAGGCTCCATCCAGTTTCTGAAGCTGGGATTCGGACAAAATATTAATCACCACATCTCTCTTGCCACATTTTATCTATACTGCAAGTTTCCTCCAT